GGCACCAGGCCCGTGGTGTCCCTGCTAGGCCTGTGGTGCCCCTGGCGGTCCTGTGGTGCCCCTGTCAGGACTGTGATACCCCTGATAGGCCGGTGGTGCCCCTGGAAGGTCTTTGGGCCCCCGGGCCTCAACGGGGGGGCCATGACCCATGTGACCCCCCCCCTTGGATCCGCCCCTGCACGGAGTCCCTGAGTCACGGAGTCCCTGAGTCACGGAGTCCCTGAGTCACGGAGTCCGAGGACCTCCTGACGACGCTACCCTACAGCATCAAGGTGTCACAAACAGATACAGATACAAATAGATACAGATATATTCGAGCCAGATTCACTCATGTTCAAACCAGTGTAAACTGAATGTGGTTTCGGAAATACAGATACAGATATATTTTCAGAGTGGTGAATCGTCTCGGCACTGAACAAGTGGATAGTATAGTACACAGCAGACATGTGCATGGATCCGAGTGATCTATGATTCCACCAGATCCGGAGTAAACATCTTGGATCTATGATCTCATAGGATCTGACGATAAACCAAGAACATGAATTTATTATCTGAGTGGATCCCATGCTATGCAAAACATTTGCAACCAGGTTTCCAAGAGTTTATATGTCAAAAGTGCCACAAAACTATAAATTATGAAGTGCAATCTCATAAAATCACTAAAACAGAACGTTTGTGAGTTGGAACATGTGATTTTGGGGGGCTTTGTGTGTTGACAAAAATAATAAATGATCTATGATCTCACTGGTTCTCAAGCAAAAAATTAGACTCGGATCTATGGTCCGCACGGATATCTCGATAAATCAAAGAGCTGGATCTATGATCCCGTCGGCCGTCGGATCCGAGATCAGGATCTGTGGGAGCAGATAAGGTGTGCCAAAAACGTCGCGAAAAACCGCAGGGGATGTTCAACCCCCCCCCCCCCCCCAGCAAGGCGCGGGTTAAATACACCGAAATGACCAGTTGCTTTGAGAAGGTCACGGACACTGAAATGTCTCCACTACACTTCCTATCATCTAAGTATGAGAAGTGTAGAATGGCATTTGAAGTTGACGCCTGACGGACGGAAATAACAGTTAAGTCCGAGTCACGGGGCTGATATTTCAGAAGGCGACAGGTTTTATTGGCTCGCTAAACATTAGTTGTCACCGTGATTCCGTGATGACTGAACGGTGACCTCGTGATCAAATCATCGCTATGCATTAGGTAATTCTGCGCCCCCGCAGTTACGTGTGCAGCGTACAGGCCTTTCCCCGAATTTTGAAGAAAAAAAAAACAAATCGACGGAAGGAGGCAGCGTGTGATAGGTAATCCAGTTTTCGGTCAGATTAAACGTAATCGCCAACGAAGCACTTACGCTAAATACCAGAACGGCAGAAGTGTAAATGCAATTCAGAGATGTAGTCAAACAAAAATATTGCGAGATTAGCCGTTTTCACGACGGCCATCTGGTACACATTTGGTGCACATCTGGTGCAGATTAGGTGCATATTTGTTCAAATTAGGTTCAGTGTGTCTCTTAGCAGCTTTCAGCTAGGGTTGTACTAATTGCTTATATGCCTATTTTGTCATATCACCAGAGAGCATCATCGATTAAAACACTGAAATAAATTCATAAAATGAAGATATTATAAGAAGAGATTAGGTGCAGATTTGGTCAAATTAGGTGCATTCGCCGGATAGCCCGTCGTAAAAACGGCTAATATCAGTTTCAAATCGGATTGCGAGATTCGAATGGCGTCTACGTCCTTCGCCATTATTTGTAACTACGCCGTGTCCGTTCCTAGCATTGAGCGGGAGCCCATGACCTCTGCAGTCGGGTGATCAGAAAACTTTCAATTTTCAAACTCAATTTTTAGCAATTCTAGACCACGTAGCGCAAAACCAAGATCACTATTAGACTCGCCGTGACGAGCTGCATCGTTTTGATACCCATTTTATGCAAAAATATCAACTTTAAAATTTGACCTTTTTTGACCTGACATTGACCTGACCTCCACCAGGAAGTGACCTAAACCGTTCCTGATGTTCTTATAACCAACACCATTGCAATTTCGTTTGAAATGAAAAATTGGCCATAAAACATGCATCACAAAGCCCTAGTGAAATTGCTGACCCTTGGTGACCTGACCTGTGACCTGACCTGGTATTATCTAATAGCAATAGTATGTAAGGGAAAGTTGGGTAATATCGGCCAGTAGGCAATATCGGACAGGCAGTTATCTTCTGAACTCTCCCCCAGGTGCATAAGCAAATGTTTCATTTGCAAAAAGGTAGCGCTGGATTTCCTTTGGCACCACCTCCTCTCGCAGGCAGTTTGCCGCTAGGCTGTCAGAATTGTTTTACGATAATCGCCATTTGTCCTTCCATCCATACAACTTATTAATTACCTGTTATCGCAGAGATAAAGAAGTTGTATCTGCCAAGTTGTATCTTTTCCACTTACTTCAACATTTTGTTATCGATTATGGGCCAACTATCTGCGTTCAATGTGTTTGTTGCTCCCATTTTATAGGGGGGGGGGGTCGGGTCGTTTCGCCTCTGACCGAGCTAGAGCTTCGCGGAACAAACGAGCGTGCTGCCCAGAGCCCGTGACGGGAGGAAGCCGATGATACCCAATTTTAACCCTCGCCGGCACGGGGGGGGTTGATGTAACCCCCCCTAAGGTTTTTCGCGAATAACTCGCGTAAAAAGCGGCCGATCGCGACGAAACTTTCAGTACCCTCGCATTGATCAATTTTACACCTACCCTGAAAATGTCATGACCCTGACCCCAATGACTTTTGACCTGTGACCTCTTTTCTGTGACCATGTTTGGCCGAAATCGCGGTTCGGCGCATGTCGGCTCCCATTAGCCGCGCGTTTGCAAGCTTTTCGTGGTTTCAAACGTTCAAACATGTGATTTGATGTTGCTCCCATGCATTAGGGTGGGTGTCAAGGTCACCTGAAGGTCAGGTCAGGTCATTGACCTTTGGTGACCTCGGGTGAACTCGGTTCACTTTTTCGAGTTTTACATGTTTCTAGGCAAGTTTTTGGAGCTGAATTCGAATTTAGCAACTATTTGAACATTTACGAAGTAGTTTTGGTGCCTTCGTAACATGTTACGAAGCTGTCCGAGGCGGTTGACACGTATTACGAATACCCGTCACAACCCCTACCGGTTGACCTGACCTGACCTGACCTGACCTGGTCTAAATGCTTAAAGACATCATCTCTGATCAAAACTAACACGATATTTGTGATCAGCACCCCGGAAAACCACATAGCAGCCACACTTTACGACTTTCTAACAGATCCCGATTTTCCCGGTTTTCGGGTCATTGACCTGACCTGGAAGGTAACCCGATGATCTAGGACCTTAAAATTGGGTATCATCGTCTTCCTCTCGTGACGGGCAACACGCTCGTTTTTTCCGCGAAGCTCTAGCTTGATCAGGGGCCAAACGCGAGGGGGGTCGTACCAGCCCCCCCCCCCCTTGTGCCGTCGAAGGACTCAAAATGGCCTGTGCCGGCGAGGGTTAAGGTCCTTCATTGGTTGACCTTCCAGGTCAGGTCAATGACCCAAAAGTCGGGATGATCGATGTTTATCAAGACAGTCCATATTCAGCCCAGATTCGGGACACCTCAGATCAACCTGAAACTCACGAACACAATGTAGACCGTTACGTGGCCCAACTTTGCACAGCAGTTTATGGCCATTCTAAGTGGAACTAGAGCGCTAAAAACGGCACCAAACGAATTGCAGGCATCTGATCTTACTTTCCCACCAGCAATTTGACCTCCCGCAGTCATGCATTGACCTAAGGTCATTTGCGGGCTATATCGAAAATAGATACACTGCACAGCGGTTCTGGAGTATATGGATTGACCGAATTCCAAATCAAAGCATACCATCGGGTAGTCCATGAGACGTGGTAACTTTTCCACTTAACCGGTTCTCGCTATGTGACCCCCTTTGACCTGGGCAGGTCAAAAGGTAAGATTCTCCGACTCCCCCTAGGTCGCAGCCCGGATTCAGCTCAGACTCGGGACACCTCAGATCGAGCTGAAACTTGCTAACAATGCAGGCTGTGATGTCCAATCCACAGTCCGAATCATTCGGTGGCAATCCCAGCCGTTTGACCTACAGAGGTCAGCAAAGGTCACATGGCTCAAATTTCCACAGCAGTTTATGGCCCTTCCAAGTGGAGCTAGAACGCTAAAAACGGCACCAAACGACTCGCAGGCATCTGATCTTACTTTCCCACTAGCAATCTGACCTCCCGCGGTCATGCGTTGACCTTTTTTGTTTGTTTTGTTGGGTTAGGCCCTTTCGGTCGACAAGACCATTGCAGAGCCGGAAGGATGATAGGAATTAGGGGGAGACATTGGTCTGGGCAGGCACCCTAGTGAGTCGCCGGGGCTGAGCCCGTCCGGAGGACAGGCCACCCAGCCCCAAGGCACTCACTGCACCCGGCTACGGGGTGCGCTCCCTCGGGAGCAGCGGTGCCGCTCCAAGGGAGCAGCCCGCATGAGATAAAGTTGCCTGTCCAGCCCGGAAGGGGGTTGTGGCGTGGAGGAGAAGGATTTCAGTATCCTGAGGATAGAAGCACGGATAGGTGTGCGTTGACCTAAGGTCATTTGCGGGTGACACCGAATGACTCGGACTGACCTTACCGTATGCCGTTCTGAATGCGGTGGCCTCCGTGACCTGGTCAAGTGGTCAACTAAACGATTTTCGGTAGTAGAGTCAGCTTCGGCCCTGGGCGCAATTTAAATCGCATCAGTTGTCCAACAGGTCTGACTGCATTTCTTATCCTACGTTTTAACTGTGAAAGCCGTCACATTTAGGTATCAGTCATCGGCACAAAGGCCGTTACGGGCATTATTGGTGCAACCCCCCCCCCCGAGGTGCCAATGTCTCCAAACCGTACAAATGATATGATTCATCTAGCAGAACATTCTTCTCTACAGAATTTGAACAAATTGCCAATGTGTTCCATATATGTACTTCATAAGCTATTTCAGCATAACTTGTTTATTGCACATCCGCATGAAAACCCTGCCTATTGAAACTGTTTTTTTCAGTTCATCTGTTATGCCCTCCGATGATCTGTACCTATAAATGATATCGCAATTAACAAATAGTCACTCGTCAGCCGTCATCGGTCATACAAAATGTAGTAGTCAATATGTAGTCGGCAAAATGACACGTAGTTTCATGTTGCTCACTCCCGTAGTTTCCAAGTATCAGTGCTTTTTACGAACAGCAAACCAAAGCCCAGCGCATTTTACGAACACCTGACCTCAAGGCGCATTCCAACAATCGGGTTTACTGTGAACAAGCGTAGATGTAAGTGACTGGGATTAACGTCATGCCGCTTTTTGAACACCGTGCTGATTCAGTTATGCACCCGTTTAACAATGGTTTTATTTTCGTAATCTAACACATCTGACTGATATCACTGCTGCGATTTTCCCAGCAATCGGACCCCTCGGCCGTATGACCATCGTCTCGAGCGACACACAGGACACACGGCTCGCGGGGCATCACCGCCCTGCGACCGACTTCGCCCTCCACACACTCACAGGAACAAACACAACATGCGACCGCTCTTCGCACGCCTCTCGGTGAGCGCCGCTTCCTCCACAAAATAACGACGCGTTCACCGGGTAGGTACCGCCCTCCGACGGGGGAGGGCAGGACGCAAGAAGGGCAGTGGGAGTGACACTCGGCCAGGGGGCGGCTCCCCGAGCCACAATGCCTCCAGGACCGCCGTTCCAGCCGCTGTGGCGGCGGTGGCGGCGACTAGACGTCCGAAGGTGGCAGCACCGTCCGATGGCGGCCCCGATCCACTGTCCACGACAGACCAGTCGCCCCCGCACGTACCACAATATGCGGTCAATCTTTTACACTTCAGAGAGACTCCATCTTCGAACGGGCACCGTCTCGACACATCAAATCACATCGCACTGGCCCTGTTACGACCGCCACTCGAACAGAGCACGTGCCGTTCTGCGCCTGTGGCCGCGCGCACACTCGGCTGACTAGTGGACCTTATCATCGAGTACCGTCCGCAGCACCAGGCTCGACTTTCCGTACTCGCCGCGCGCGTGCGCCGCCTCGGACTCCTCCAGGATGGCCGGCTCCTCATAGTTGCTCGAGCGCCGGCCCAGCCTCACAAAGCTGTCTGGATCGTCGGCGTCCAGGTCATGCACGTACGCGTCGCCGAGCTGGATCAGTTTGGTCACCAGCTGGTTGTCGTCGAGCGCGGGCGCGGCGGGGACGGTGGCCGCGCCCGCCGCCGCCGCCGAGGGAGCAGGAGCGCTCTCCTCGGTGGAGTCAGCGCGCGCGCTGCGCATGGAGCGCCGACTGCTGCGCACGTTGCGCTCGAGTCGCGGTCCGTCGCGGGTGTCCTCGGCTCCCTCGGCGGCCGGCGGCAGCGGCGCACCGCGCTGCGCCGCTCCGTTAGCCAGCAGAGAGCTCGAGTAGCTGGAGGCGAGGGAGCACGGCCGCGGCCGCGTGGTGCCCGGACGGGAGTGGATCACCTCGTCCCAGTGCTGTAGCAGCAGGGCCATCCGCGCCCGGGTCTCCTCCTCAGCCTGAGCGGGGTCCAGGTCCTGGCCCTGCGGCACCGACAAACGGACTACAGGTCAGCCTGACAGGGACAGAGGGTGGGGAAATGATACATACACAGCTCGGAGTTCAGGTCCCGGCCCTGCGGCACAGGGGGCGGGGCACAGGTCAGCCGGGCTGGGGAGTGAGGGAGACTCGCAACATTACGAATACAGCCGAGGGTCCAGGTCTCTCTCCTGCAGGGGTAGGTCACAGCGTCAGCTAGAAAGAGAGGGCGGGTAGACAACAGATTTCACAAACAATACAAACACAGCGATGGTTCAGGTTTCGGCCTTGAGGCACAAGGCACTGGTAAGCCGTGCAGCGTTCGGGGCTGAGAGCCCACAGATCTCATAAACGACACGGACGTATCCGAAGCAGATTGATGAGCTTTTTACGCACCGTGAAGCATTGCTCTCACATGGATGAAGCCCATACCTGTTCGATTTTCTGGTCGAGCTGCCGGAAGAATTCCAGTTGGCTGGCAGATAGGACCTTACTGTAACAGAGAGACTCAACGTTAGAACGATATTTCTGTGAGATATTGATGTGAACTGCAAGCAAAATATCCGCGGAGTTACGCATTTACAAGAAAACTCCGATTGAAGAGGCACATCTGATTGTAAATTATATGTAATAATCTCAGGGTGAAAGTTATTAGCTCTAAATAGATGCACTATGTTGATCACAAAACAAGGTGATTGCAAATTTAACGAAGTTCGAATACCGGTATTCATTTTTTCGGTGGTTGCAACTGCCACTATGACTCCTATTGACCCCAATAGCCGTATATGACGAGCGCACATTATTCCCAACCCCCTCCCCCTGCGATACCCACGTCTGATTGAGGACGGGTGTGGCGACGACGGGCGTGCGGCTGTTCTTGGCCTTCTTGGTGTCGTTGACGACTTCGCCGCCGACGCTGGTGTCGTCGGCCGACACATCAGCCGCCGATACACTGCCGCGACGCTCTGCGGGCGGCGAGGTCAGGTCAGAGGTCAGAGGTCATGCGGGGTGCGAGGGTGGCGGGTATGTGTGACGCGTTTCGATATCCGGTGGGTGAGTCGGGTTAGGTGGGCGGATACAGCTGAATAGTAGGCATACAGGATTGAACACACACTGGGTGATCATGGTAAACCATTACCACAGTGCCCTCAGAGACTTACAACTCTCATAACGTTTATAACGCTAACCATAACATTATGCCTATATCACTTAGCTTTTATCATAACGTTAAAATTGTGTGTAAGTTCCTAAATTTATTGAGACGTCCAACGTTAATTATCTCTCCAATAGTGCCACCCACTTCAATCCGCAAAGAAAACTTACCATTGACACATAAGGAACCATAGAATCTCAGCTTACTCGACTGCAACGGTCCCTAATTCGGCGCCAGCCATAAAGCCCATTCACACGATTCAACAGCCCACTGACACTCAGAGCACGCCATTTCACAGATCCCACATCCATCTAACTCCGGCGCTGCGCTACGGGTCAGGTGGGTCATCGTCTGAGGTCACAGAGGTCATCGTTAGGGTCACGGAAATCAGGGACTGTCCTCGTTCGAGGTAACTCACTGGATCCCTTGCGCCGTTTCTGCTTTGGGCTGTCTGAGTCGGAGGACTTGCTCAGTCCGCATCCCATTGCTCCAGAGCCAGGTCACTCATGGCCGGGCCGGGTCATGGCCGGCAGAGAACGCCTCCACCTCCCTGCAACAGAGGTCAGGTCAGGTCAGGTCAGTTCACACGGGAGCAGACTGGCACACTGTTCAGGTCACTGACAAACAGCTGACGATGCCTCTTTTAGGTAGGTACATGGAGCATACACTGAGCTATAAGCCATTCAACAAATGCCATTAGATGGACGAATGTGTGCCCCTGATGCCGGCGGATGGACGAATACGTCCCGCACTGATCACCACAATGCAAACCAGATGAGTTGGGTCGGATTCCCAGGGTTTATCTGGGCGCGTTAGGCCCATCACTGAAACGTATGACACCATCGCGATGGTGCCGATGCATCGGCAGGGGCCAAGTGCTTCGCTGAATGGTCATGTGTTAGAGGTGTACGTCTGTAAAGTCAATGATATCAGGCGTTCCATTATCATTTATTTAGTTGCTTTTTTTCTTCACGCCTGACGTCTCACGTATGTTAGTTCGATGGGAAGATGATAATACCGGAGAAAGTGTTCCGAACCGGTTCAGCCGCATTTGCATGGCCCGCTGTCCCCGTATTTGATTGCAAACCGTTAAAATATACCATACCCTTCGGCCTTCATATCATTCAACGGTTGAAGCGTGAGCGTTCGCCGTTCAATTCACGTTTGATATTACATTATTTACCTAGGCAAGAAATGCAACAGTTCTTAGTAACGATTAGGAAAGGCAAGATGTCGTCATAGGCCGAAACTTCATGTTGATTGCAATTTGCATTCCGCTGGTCTCGTGTCATTATTAAATATTAATGACAACTCGAGTTGACAGCGACTCCGCCACGCCAGGCATGGTTAGTGGTTAAACGGTTACGATTTACCAAACAGACCTGAGCGAAAGTCGATTATACCTAAAATGCCCGTAAGTGACGGTTTAGGTGCCTACATCTCTCGCTCTCCCAGTAGCAGGACCCATAATTATTATTTTCTAATCGGATGCCAAATGCAGATTTTGCCACACAACTTTGACTCTCATTACAGCCGACCACTCGTGCAAACGTCGGCCAATATAGCAACTACCTTCAATCCAATCAGCCGATGACGCTCGCGTGCCGCAAAATCGCTCACGAAACTTTAACTGAACTGAACCGTTCAGCTTCACAATTTATATTTGGGGCTGCGACATGCTAAAGAAATTATCCACTGATTGCACGACTCTCACGTGTTTCGGAGAATTTCAAATCGTATAACGAGGGAAATGAATTGGGAAGTTCTCTTCGCTGAGTCACCGGCCACGCTTCCGCTCGTCGCCGGTCTCGGCTCATCCAATTCGCACATGCGCCCCGGCCGCTCTCAGCGAAATGAAGCCCTCAGTTTCAGGATGGACCCGGTGAACGCGACATAATGTCAGGGCCTACAAGGTGGAACGTACGAGTACGTTAACGTGCATAAGTTTATGGGTAGGTAAAAAGGCTCGGAGTTCGATTGGAAATTTAGGCCTACATTTGTGCAATCAACATTATTCGGTAAGGGGTTGCTGCGTTTTCGGTGCATGAAAACGGGAGAGATAGCACTGAACCGTCGTTTGTGCGACTTCTCGCGGCGAAGGTTCAGTATTGTAACTCTTTATCACAGCGAAATGTCAAATAATCGCGTTTTTTTTTTTTTTTACCAGAAAAAGAGACGTGACTTAGCAGTTTGAGCTATCGTGGCAAAGTGCCGCATCAGGGCTGTCTTACGATTCAGTACCAAAACACATCATCGATGGTGTGCATGGGGTGTTGTCATTGGCAAGAGCTTTTGGCACTTATTTACTCATTGGGGCGCGGTGGTTGAGTGTCATCACTTCCTCTTCCGTTCTGACCTGACCGCCTTCCGGCCAGCTTCCTGACGTCGGACCTACGTCATCCTCTACCCCCAGCGTCAGTTCCGACCGAGGCTATGACCCTGATGTCACCCAGAGCGTCACGAACAGCCGGACCTCCGGTGATGACGGAACGTGACGCACCGATCAGGGCACCATCCCGTGCAGTGAGTCAGTCCTCCGGGGCCTCAGCAGGACGGTCGCACGTCCAGCCGTGACCAAACGGGACGGTACGGGGCCGGGTGACTCATCCAGGCCAGTCACGAAAAGCGGTGCATCGTGAGCCATGTGCGCGTCGAGATGACGAGGCGCCGCGCCCAAGTTGGTAGTAGTTGTTCAGGTTTTTCGGGAAGGTTACATCATGGTAGTAATACCGGACTCGGACGGGCCAATCATCGAATGTCATCACGTAACGTTTTCAGAAGCTTCCAGCGCTCGGTCGGGCCAGAGACGGGTTAGTTATACATACAACTGCGATTATTTGACATTTCGCTGTGTTTAGCAACATGCTGAAACAGACTGGTTTAGACTGTGGAGTGTCGTGATATTCCTAAAGTCACGTAGAAACACGATTCCCTTCCGCTGCAGACACAGAAGCCCTTCCGAACCTCTTCCCTTCCTGGAAGCCCGCGCGATGCCCGCCCGGTCGGCGATGGGTCCTAGCCTCGGGGCAGATCAGGAAGAAGACCGCGCCGCCGTGTCGGTCGCATGGTTTCTCGGGTCGATGGGACTCACGCCGACCGTCTAAGAGACTACTACGTCAACTGGCCCGTCATCACATACAGGAAGGGGGCTTTCATATCTCAGTTAAGTCGCATGGTGACAGCCGTACTAGCGATCAGACACGATACGTCGTGTCGTTACTCGTCAGCTTGCAATAAAATTGTAGGTGGAATATCTGTGAAGAAGGCTACCACGGTGGCCTACTGGCTGGGCCACAATACAAATTCATGCCGGTCCCTTCATGATCTGCAGTCTGCACTATTGAGACGGTTTAGTCGGGCGACTGAATACAACGCGACGTGTTCGGTAGGCATTTAATTGGACTATAAATCAACGAAACGCTACAGCCAATGGATTTATTACGTGCATTTGCCATATTCGAGGCTGATATTTCATAGTATGTAGCTACCTACGTCTTCCAACTCAATGATATCAGAAAAATATACGCACCTACCATTCCAAAGTTATATGGTATCCCCACCCGTCAAGCGTTTATTCGTGCTCAGTAGTTGCTCATAGCTGGCATGCAAATTGTAAAACGAGGATGTGCTGCGAAGTTCATTTCCGCACAGTCCACAACGCATCAACAAACGTCATGCTTTAGTGAACAACGAACACTAAGGACCGCTAACAGGGCGGTGCCCCGACCCGAGTCTGCAAATTTTACACGGATGCCATCGTGTCGATCAATAGGCCTGCACTGCTATTATATAAAACCTGCATCAGACTGCAGCTTCTGACAAATGTGAGTCTGATATCTGACACCAGATTATGCCCTGGGCGGTCATCACACGACTTCTCACCTATATCAAACGGCCCTGCAGCCATTAATATTGAATAACGCCACCCGGAGGCGCTTGAACCCCGACGAGTTACCATTAGAGGTGGCAAAAGATGAAAATTTTGAGAACCAGACTCGAACCAGACCCGGCTGGACATTTCTGGCACCAGTCGGACCCGGTCTTAGTTGGAATCGGAACCAGTTGGACCCGTTCCCCAAAAGTCAATTAATACAAACTACTTGTAGGTATCATTAGTTGCATCATGTAAAACAGCCTATTTCTCACTGGGAATACTCATGAGCTACTTCGTGCAAAGAAACATCCACTTCATTCACTTCATATTTTGCTATGTGTAGTGTGCAAGATGTATAGTTCATGGTAGGACCCGGTTGGACCCGTCAGAAAATTTCCAGGAACCGGTCTGGACCCATATGGGTCCAGACTGGTTCTTTGGACCGGGTCCCCGGGTCCACATTTTGCCACCTCTAGTTACCATCTTTGCTACAAACCGCCTGTAACCTATAGGCATACCATCTAACTAAAGCCCATATTAGCGTCACCGCTCATCAACTTCACAATTCGTCCCTTTGCATTCGACCGTCACCCCCCCCCCCCGCGTGTGACCTTTGGCTTCGTCTAATCAGCGCCCTGCACTGTCCCATCACCTTCGGCCGTCCTCTGGGGAGCTGCCCGGGGCGGCTGCCGCTGACGAGGCCTGCCACGGCACAGGTTCTCTCTCTCCCTCCACGGCGGAGGCCGCCGTCGGCTCTGACCTCAGTAATGGTGCCGATCAATAACCGCGAACTGAGGCGGGCTGAGAGCGCAGTTCGCAGCCGGACCCAGCGCAGAAAATGGCACACACGGGAGTGCAAGGGCATGTGCTGCTGCTGGCTCTATATCAGCGCAGAGTAACAAAAAATGTTTTGAATATTGGTGTAACTTTAATGGTTGCTAAAGCTTTGTAAAACGTCCGATGCGATAGACGGATTACCTACGGTTAACCGTTTGAGGTAAATAAATATATAGAATTGGGGCTAATTAGTAATTAATATCATAAGGCTCGGGAACCAGTCAAAGAAAGGCGAGTTACTATTTCATCTTAAAATAAATGTAGATAGGTACGCCACAAAAATGGAACACCGGTGCCAGCTCCACTCCTAAAATGAGTCGACGAGACAGACCGATCTACGCAGAACTGAACGCGCCTCGGAGATGATCCTCTAATAACGCACAGAAGCGACGGCGCCAGCGATCTCAATGCCTCTGACCCGACATCGGACCGTCTCCCGGCAACCCCACGCGTCAGTGTCTTGCCGCGCAGAACAGACGGCTCGTACCAACTCAATATGGGAGAACGGCCCGGTGAGATGACACCTTGTGAGCTCGTGGAGCCTGTGAGACTGAGGACCAGTATTGCGAGAAAGACGGAAAACTTCGGATATCCAGTATTGTGGACCGAGGCGGCGGGGCATACGATGTTAAGATGCTATAGCATTGACGGTCCTTTGCACGGCCCTCAAATCTAACGATTCAATAGCGTGATAGACAGTTGCAAGCAAATGTGAAAAGCCGCTATTGCATGCAGCGATTAGAGAAAACAAGTAATCACATCGGGAAATAGCCTCTCATTTCCTAACATCTGGCAATTCAGATTCTATGTAGGAATATACAGCAAACCTGGTACGTTTC